AAATTGATAAGAAAAAATTAATTAAGGATGTTAAACCTCATCAGCCAAGTTGTTCTAATTTTTCTATTAAAATGCTATTAAGTAAATAAATATTGGAATAATTGCAAATGTAATGAATAATGAAATTGTACATTCGTGTGATGAGTTGAATTTGATCCGTACTTTGACGTCATAATTATATTATTTTATGGTTATCGCCCCTTTCTTTTTGTGTTCTTGGTTTTGTTTTTCCTACCTCTTCTTCCGTTAGACGTCACTTTTTATTAGGCTTTTAGACCATTTGAACAAGAGATTATTATTTAGTCGGTCAGATTCGCTATTTACTTCTTTTATCCGGTATATATAGATTATACACAATTATACATATATTGCATATGCATTATGTTGGCATGAGCTGTAACAGAAGATTTGTGCTGCGATTTTAGGGAGAGATTACAGGGATTCCTTCTTATCTGTCTCCAATTATAGATTCCAAGATCATAGCCTAAACTCATGTACAGTAGTTATTACCTTCCAAGGATAGATCCTTTGTATATGTTATATATATAAACAGCATCTTGTATTCATTGTAATTCAATACAGTATGAAATAAAAGGTTACCATTCTTGACATGGTATCAGAGCGTAGGCGTATGCTCTAAGATCTGAGGCGTCTTTCTGTGGAATAACAGGAACAAAGAATAGAAAGAGACCATAGATTGAAGCGATGGAAGAATCTACTCCCTCAACAGAAGACTCCCAAAGTGAGAACTTAATCCTTGTCGACTTAACATCTAGAATATCACAGATGTTAAACCAAACACTAACCATAACCAGTCATGAACCTATAGCAGCACCAATTGGCGTCAAGTTAAATGACACCAATTATGGAATTTGGTCCCAAGTTGTAGAGATGTACATCTCAAGAAAAGACAAGTTGGGATACATAAATGGAGATCTCCCACAACCTCTTGAAACAAATCCTAGTTTCAGGAAGTGGAGAACAGAAAATGCAGTGGTGAAGGGATGGCTGATCAACTCTATGGATCCAAGTCTAATTGGTAACTACATCAGATTTCCAACAGCAAAAGCTGTGTGGGATGCTATTGCTACAACATATTTTGATGGTAGCGACACTTCACAGGTTTATGATCTTAAGAGGAAGGTGACAAGGCTCAAACAAAGTGGAGGATCTATTGAAACCTATTACAACAACCTGCAAGGTCTATGGAGTGAAATTGATTTTCGTCGCCCAAATCCAATGAAATGTGAAATCGATGTACAAAAGTATAACTCTATTTTACAGGAAGATAGAGTCTATACGTTTCTGGATGGATTAGATGATCGACTTGACAAGATCCGAGGGGATGTACTTCAACTTCAGCCATTTCCTACAGTGGAACAGGCCTATGCCCATGCTCGCCGTGAAGATCTAAGACAAACGGTGATGTTAACAAAGGGAGATGTTGTTCCTGCTGCTTCTGCTATGATCTCAAAGGGAGGACTGAAGCAAAATCAACAACTCTCACTTCATCTGCTCTCAAATGGGAAGCATACTACATCAGCGAAGTCAAAGTTACAATCAGATGAAGGGGGCTGCACACACTGTGGAAATATGAAGCACACTAAAGATACCTGTTTCAAGTGGAAGGGATATCCAGAATGGTGGTATGAACTCAAGGCAAAAAGAAAACAAGCTGGTCGAGCTGCATTAGTGAACACCGGAGACTCTCCTAATGCTACGACAGACATGTATTCTCAACTTATTTCACAAACAGACTCTTCTCCTGCTGCAGCGAACATATCTATGGCTCTTAATGATTCAGGTAACCTTGATTGGATTATTGATTCAGGGGCGACTGATCACATGACGTTTGATTCAAGAGACTTTGTTGAATCCAGTCAACCAAAAAGAACGTGCATTGCTAATGCTAATGGAGTGACATATCCAGTTATAGGGGCTGGAAAAGTCGCACTCTCACCCTCTTTCTCACTACCAAATACTCTTTTAGTTCCATCTCTTTCAGCTAAATTGTTATCTGTTGGCCAAGCTACTGAGGAAATGAACTGTTGTGCACTAATTTACCCTAAGTTTTGCTTGTTTCAGGATATTCTCACCAAGGAGATTATTGGTCGTGGTACTAAAAGAGATGGGCTTTACTACATGGATGATTTCATCCTTGGCCGGGCAAATATTGGACAAGGGATCGGTGAAAAAGAACGACAGATTTGGTTGTGGCATCGTCGACTGGGACATCCATCATTTTCTTAAGGCATTTGTTTCCAAGTTTGTTTTCCAACATATGTGAATCTGATTTTAGGTGTGAACCTTGTATCATGGCCAAAAGTCATCGTGTTTCTTATCCTATAAGTTCAAACAATTGTGAGATACCCTTTATGTTGATTCACTCGGATGTTTGGGGACCAGCTCCTATATCGATTTCCTCAGGTTATAGATGGTTTGTAACCTTCATAGATGATTGTACACGCTTTATTTGATGAAAAATAAGAATGAAGTGTTTGCAATTTTTCGCTCTTTCCATAGCATGGTCAAGACTCAATTCACTGCTAAACTTCAAATTCTTCGGTCTGATAATGGTGGGGAATATGATAATAATGAGCTACAGGAATATTTTAAAGAACATGGCATGTATCATGAAACTACTTGCTCTCAAACGCCACAACAAAATGGTGTTGCGGAGCGAAAAAATAGACATATCCTTGAAACAGCTCGAGCGCTCTTAACAACAACACATGTACCTCGACGTTATTGTACAGATGCAGTTGTTGCTGCTGTTTATTTGTTGAATCGAGTGCCATCTCGAGCATTGAAATTTAAAACTCCATTACAAACTCTTGCTCATCATGTACCATTACCATCTGTCTTAATGCTTCCACCTCGCATATTCGGTTGTGTTGCTTATGTTCATCTTCATAAAAATCAGCGGACCAAGCTTGATCCATGTGCTGTCCGCTGTGTGTTCCTAGGATATGCGACTCACAAGAAAGGCTATAGATGCTATGATCCTACTACCAAGCGTCTCTATGTTACAATGGATGTTACATTTCTTGAATCTGAAACTTTCTTTGGAAAATCAGTTTCACATTCTTCTCTTAAGCAGAAGCTTCTTGGTGAAGAGCAGAATGTGAATGGTTGGGAAAACTGGCCATGCTTTGAAGATACAAACGTGGAAACAAATGACACTGATGGTGCAACTAAATCAGATGAAGTTCAATTGCTACAACCTGTTCTAGTTGAGACTCAACCAATCCCTGAAGAAATTCAAGGTAACCTGGTTAAGCAACCACCAATGGAAATGACAAGATCGGAAGATGATCAGACAAGGAGTATGCAGGAGAATCCCATCCAACAAGGACAAACCATTTCTCACAATTTAGTACCAAACGACCACTCTCCTGAGAATACTCCTGAGGTACAATCTCTTGACTCCTCTCTCAATAACGCTATTGATACTATTGATGCTTCTGTTGGTTACAAATTACCTTTCAGACATAATCGTGGTAAGCAACCAAATCGGTACTCACCAGTTCATGAAAAAAACAAGGCGAAGTATCCGATTGCTAACCATGTCTGTACTCAAAGACTATCACAACCCCTCAAAGCTTTTGTGCATAAGTTATCTTCAGAGTATATTCCAAGTACAATACAAGAGGCACAGAATGATCCAAAATGGATCCAAGCAATATCTGAAGAAATGGCAGCTCTACAGAAGAATGATACATGGAAGCTTATGCCGCTGCCTGAAGGAAAGAAAATAGTACAGTGTAAATGGGTATTCTCCATTAAATACAAGGCAGATGTGTCAATCGATCGCTATAAGGCAAGACTTATAGCCAAGGGATTTACGCCGTCATATGGTATAGACTATCATGAGACATTTTCACCGTAGCAAAGTTGAATACGATCAGAGTATTGTTGTCTCTTGCTGCAAACTTGGATTGGCCACTACATCAGTTTGATGTAAAGAATGCATTTCTTCATGGGAACCTTGCTGAAGAAGTGTACATGACTATTCCACCGGGCTTTACTACCTCACAAGGTGGAGTTGTATGCAAATTGCAGAAGGTACTATATGGACTGAAACAATCACCAAGGGCGTGGTTTGAACGATTTAGCTTGGCTATGAGGAAGCATGGATTCAAACAGAGCAATTCAGATCATACTCTATTCTTGAAGCATCGGAAAGGGATGGTAACTGCTCTAATTATTTATGTTGATGACATGATAATTACAGGGAATAACAAGGAGGAGATCTCAAATTTGCAGAAGCATTTGGCAACAGAATTTGAGACAAGAATCTTGGAGGACTAAAATATCTTTTGGGAATCAAGGTAGCTCGATCAAGTCAAGGCATTTTTCTCCGGGAAAAGACCAAAACAATACATCATCTTTGTCTTTAGAATCAAAGTCATACATATTCTTTCACATGGAGCACTAATAGTACATTTACTTTAACAAAGTGGTGCACTTTTAGTCATAATACTGAAAAAAGCCCAAAAACATACATTATCTTTGACTTTAGATTCAAACTCACACATATTCTTCCTCATGGAGCACTAATAGTCCATTTACTTTAACAAAGTGGTGCACTTTTAGTCATAATACTGAAAAAAGCCCAAAAACATACATTATCTTTGACTTTAGATTCAAAGTCATACATATTCTTCCTCATGGAGCACTAATAGTCCATTTACTTTAACAAAGTGGTGCACTTTTAGTCATAACACCAAACACATTTTAATTTTTAACAGAAATCTAAGATCTCACAAAATATTTGTTCCCTTTATTTTCTTGTTTACCGAAAGAAAGAAAGATGACAGAATTATCTAGATAGCAAATAATAAATATACATAGAATTTATTTACTATACGTAAAATATACATTTTACTAAGAAATGTTAAACACCGTTAATTTTTATTTGCAATGATTTTTATCTAAATAACCTCAAATGTTATCTAGATTTTTTATTATATACATTTTTATCTAGACTTGGTGCATAGATGTCTTCAAGCAAGGTTTTCTACAGCTCATTAGACAAGTTGGGTATTGAAGACATCTATGCACCAAGTTGAGGGGATGTTGCTCATGAGCTGAGCTGTAACACAAGATTTGTGCAGCGATTTTAGGGAGAGATTATATGGATTCCTTCTTATTTGTCTCCAACTATAGATTCCAAGATCATAACCTAAACTCATGTACAGTAGTTATTACCTTCCAAGTATAGATCCTTTGTATATGTTATATATATAAACAACATACTGTATTCATTGTAATTCAATATAGTATGAAATAAAAGGTTACCATTCTTGATATATATTTTTTGCATCCGCCAGCTATTTTTAATTTAAAAAATTAGATGAACTATTTAGATTAATTTTTTTTTTTTATCAACTGTTGGTTGGAATCTTTCCAACTTAACTGGACAGATCTTATTCCAGGCTGGCCCAATAGCCACATGAGGTTTCGCTTGTTGTGGGAAGTGAACATATACATGATTTTGGGGCCGTTGTTTAAGTTGTACCATAGGTTTTAATTTTTTTATTTTATAATTTTACCCACAACAAACATAATTGCAGGCATACACTACTGAAATAGCACAATTTGTGTCTAAAGCTATAATTTTATCTGAAGATGTGGACTTTAAATGAAAACGTCATACATGCATACAAAAAATTAGTTGCACTTAAGATGCAAACGTGTTAAGTCCATCCTAAATACAATTTTTGCACTTAAGACGAAAACGTCCTAAGTGTATGCAATAAACAGGGTTGTCCTAAGATGTTTAGTCTTAAGTATAATTAAAATTACACTTAAAATGCACTTAAGATGTATGTGTCTAAAGTGTAATCAATTTTCTGTATGCACCGAAGACGTTTTTATTTGAAGCTCAAATTTTTCAGAAATAGAAATTTATTAATCGAATTTCAACAATCAAACACACCTAAATTTACTTCAAATGGGCTCAAATTTAAAGTATAAGCCTAAAGTATTATAAAGAACAAACCCCAATAATTAATTTGTCAAAATAATGATAAATCTAACAATTTCATTGTGACGACCCGATAGGTCGTTTTGAGTTCTAACCTTTATTTATACATTCCTAGACTCTCATAGCTCAATTTGATGATTTACAACTTGCGTGCGTGGTCCGTATTGATTTCCGAAAAGTTTTCATGTGAAATTTCTAAGCAAAATTGATTTTAACTTAAAATAAGCTTTGGGTTGACCACGGTCAACATTCTTAGTAAACGACCCCGCATCGGTATTTTGACAATTCTGGTAGGTTCGAATGATCTTGTACATATGCTTGGTTGGGGTTCCAGGTGACCCGAGCATGTTTCAGCGCATTATGTGAAAGATTGTGAAAAAATAAGTTTTTAAGTGGAAATCTAGAGTTTTGATGAACGATTCTTGTTATTTGATGTAATTTTGATGATTTGAGGTAGCAAACAAGTTTGTAAGATATTATTATACTTGTGTGCATGTACGATTTAGAGCCCGAGGGACTCGGCTGAGTTTCGGATGTATTGCAGACTGATTCACAATAGTTGGTGAAGTTTTGTTCCTGGTGTTGAATTGCAGGTCTCGCATTTGGGAGAAGTTGTTCGCAAATGCAAAGTGCGTTTTTGCGAATTCGAGCTTGCATTTGCGATAAAGGGCTGGGCAGGGCAATCTACACATTTGCGAAGAAATATTTGCAATCGCGGACAGTCTATTACCGCTTTTGGTATTCAGTAGTCGCTTTTGCGACTGGGTACTAGGATAGGCAGATTAGCAAATGCGAATTTTTGACCGCATTTGCGATGGAAGGGGGCCTCGCAAATGCGAGTTTTTTGTCGCATTTTCCACTTATGTGGTCTGGGGCACTGATCGCATTTGCGATAAGTATTTCACATTTGCGATGATCAAAATTATGAACAAGAGTTCGCAAATTGTGATATATGCAGCTGGGTAAAAGTTGGGAAAATCACGACTTAGCACATTTTACATCATTTTTTAACCCTAAGCTCTCTAGAGGCGATTTTTGAAGAACATTTTCTCTTTCAAATTCATTGGTAAGCAACTTTAACTAGTTTTCAATCAATTTCAATTACTTTTTCATGAATGTTAACATCAACTCCATGAATTTCAAGGTAGAAATGAGGGATTTTGTGTAGAATTTAGGAATTTTGTAAAGTTGAAATTTAGACCTCAAATTGAGGTCAGATTTCGAAACAAATCACATAACTGGTGTCGGGGGTGAATAGGTAATTGGGATTTGATCTGAATCTCAGATTTCGACCAAGGGGGCGTGGGGTTGACTTTTGTTGACTTTTTAAAAAATGATCAAAATTGAACCTTTTTCATTCGTGGGTAGTTTCTAAAGCTTATTTTGGATTGTTTGAATGATATTTGGCTAGATTCAGTTAGTCTGGAGGCATGTTCTAAAGGAAAATGATTTAGTTTCTGAAAGAAGTAAGTGTCATATTTAACTTTGACTTGAAGGAATTATGACTTATTTGGTCTATTTGCTAAGTGAATTATGTGTGAGAATGGTGTATATGCAAGGTGACGAGTGTATATGCATTGTAATGGGTAAATCATGCAGGATGAGCTATTTATCTTTATGTCATCATTTATTCCATGTCATATCTCGTTATGTGCTTTGATTTCTACATGTCCTTGCTATTTGTGCCTTACTTATTATCTATCATCTAGTTGTTACTTGTTTTTTGTTTATTCATTCCTCGATCAATATTTACTTACCTGCTATATGATCCCACATGTATTAATTGAATATCTTCATTATTTCATGCCTTAATTGCCTTTACCTTACTTGTTGCATTTTATTATGTTATATCCGACTGTGTGAGTCCCTTATTTATTCTTGCGTTAATGATTTGTTGAGGTTTGTGAATATGAGATGCTGGTTGCCCTCTGTTTGTACTCGTAGGTTCTTCGTGTTTTGTATGCTTTAGTACCTTTTGTATTGGGATTTCGGAATTGGTTGTGTTGAGTTATTAACGATATTGAAATGATATTGGAAATGGGTTGCACACCGCAACATAATAAAAATGAAATGATATTAGAATCAGGTTGCATGCCGCAACAGATATTGATATGATATTGGAATCGGGTTGAACGCCGCAACAGATATTGCAATAATATTGGTATCGGGTTACGCGTTGCAACAGGGTATGATGTGTTGTAATTGTTTGTAACATTGGTGTTCTATTTTTGTACTGTGATGTGAGGTTATGAGATGTTATTTTGAGGCCCTCTATTAGCTGACCTTCGGGTCCCTTTCTTATGAATTTATCCGTTTTCTCAATATTTTTGTTGTTTTTTATTTATTATTCGTACATGTTTATTGTGAGTGTTTTGTGATAAAACTCATCACTATTTCGTCGAGGTTAGGCTCGACACTTACGGAGTATATGGAGTCGGTTGTACTCATAGTACACTTCTCGATATCGGTCCTAGTGGCGCCTAGCGGAGATTGCTCGGATCAAATCTATCTAGGAGACTTGAGGTAGAGTTGCACGATATTCGCAGTCCCGGAAGTCCCCTTCTATCTTGTTTTACTGTTTGTATTGTTTCGAGCAGTTGTATTTCATTTCAAACTATATTTTTAGTATTCTAGTCGCTCATGTACGCGTGACTCCAAATTTCTGAGATTAGCTTAGACTGCAGTACTTATGAATTTATTTTATGTATTTCAGTCGTTAATTAATATTTTGCTTTTAAATTGTTAAAATTATTTAATTCTTTAGCTAACATTGGCTTTCCTAGCAAATGGATGTTAGGCGCCATCACGTCCCCGTGGTTGGGATTTCGGATCGTGACACTCATTTTGCAACTAAGAAGAAGAGGAAGAAGAGACCCTCAACAGTAGTAACGAAATGAACTTTGCAGTACCTCACTACTATAAAACACCATAAACCATCTTAAAACATGCTCACAAACACCATGTAAATCCGATGTCACCTCTATTTAAGAAGGAGGAGGAGAAGCAGAGAAGAACAACTTGTCTCAAGTTACACATATTTTGTGTAATGACCCGACCGGTCGTTTTGCTTTATAGATCCTTGTTCCTCTAATTAAGACTCCTCGTATTTGCTTTTATTGTGTTTTATGACTTGCGAGAATGGTTAGTTAGGATTTGGTAGGGTTCGAGTTGAAATTGGAACAATCAGTTCCTTAATAGTGGCTTATAATGGTTAAGTTTGATGTGAGTCAATATTTTGAGTAAATGGCCCCGGAATCGGAATTTGACGGTCCCAATAGATTTGTATGATGATTTTGGACTTGGACATATGGTCAGTTTAGTTAAAGTGAATTAACTAAACTGAATGAAATGTAAATAAGAAATAACTAAGCCTTTTAACCCAACTGCTACTAACGTCTATGGACAACGAATAAAGCCAAGAGTACTCCTCTGCATTGCTACAAAATACTGCTACATCCACTGCTGTAACAAACCTGTGAACTTGCATCCACCATTAGGGTAGTAAAGCACATGCTCTCAAAGCTACCCTCAAGCATTCGTCCTAATCTGAACCTCCAGTTCCGGCGTGCCCTTGAACCTCATGGAGATATACGACGTGCCCGTCAACTGTTCGATGAAATTCCCGAACCAGATATACGATCGTGGACGCTCTTGATCACCGCATACACGAAGAGGGGTTGTCCAGAAGAAGCATTGAAAGTCTACGACGAATTGCGGCAAAGGAAAGTTCTTCCTGATCAGTTAGCACTGTTATCAGTAACCAAGGCTTGTGCTACTTTGGGCAACCTTATAAAGGCAAAAGGGATTCATCAAGATGTAATTAGATATGGATATCACTCCGATTTGCTCCTTGGAAATGCATTGATTGACATGTATGGCAAGTGTAAATACATTCGAGGTGCAAAAGAGGTTTTTGATAATTTAAGTGCTAAAGATGTAATCTCTTGGACGTCTATGAGTTCGTGCTATGTTAACTGTAAACTTCCAAGAGAGGCGCTAAGGATATTCCGTGAAATGGGGTTAAATAGGGTGAGCCCAAATCCTGTTACATTGTCTTCTATACTTCCTGCCTGCTCGGATTTGAAAAGTTTGAATTATACTTGAATTATAAAAAATCTAGATAACATTTGAGGTTATCTAGATAAAAATCATTGTAAATAAAAATTAACGGTGTTTAACATTTCTTAGTAAAATGTATATTTTACGTATAGTAAATAGATAAATAGTAAATAAATTCTATGTATATTTACTATTTGCTATCTAGATAAATCTGTCATCTTATTTCTTTCGGTAAACAAGAAAATAAAGGGAACAGATATTTTGTGAGATCTTAGATTTTTGTTAAAAAATAAAATGTGTTTAGTGTTATGACAAAAAATGCACCACTTTGTTAAAGTAAATGAACTATTAGTGTTCCATGTAGAAGAATATGTATGACTTTGAGTCTAAAGCCAAAGATAATGTATGTTTTTGGGCTTTTTTTCAGTGTTATGACTAAAAGTGCACCACTTTATTAAAGTAAATGTACTATTAATGCTCCATGTGAAAGAATATGTATGACTTTGATTCTAAAGCCAAAGATGATGTATTGTTTTGATCTTTTCCCTCCATTTTTCTCTCACAAAGGAAATATGTACTTGATTTGCTAGCTGAAACAGGAATGCTTGAATGTAAGCCTGCAAGTACTCCAATAGAAACCATGGATTCAGAGTACACTCAAACCAGATACCTGCAAATGGAGAAAGGTACCAACGGCTGGTGGGAAAATTGATTTACCTATCTCATACACGGCCAGATATTGCCTATGCGGTGAGCTTGGTTAGTCAATTCATACATAACCCTAGTGAGGAACATATGGATAGTGTACTTCGAATTCTACACTACTTAAAGTCTTCTCCTGGAAGTATCCCTGACATAAAATCAACATCAGGATATTTCACTTTTGTTGGTGGAAACCTAGTCACTTGGAGAAGTAAGAAGCAAAAGGTAGTCGCATTGTCTAGTGCAGAGGCTGAATTTAGAGGCAGGGCTAGAGGACTTTGAGAGCTTCTTTGGTTGAAAGAGTTACTGAAAGAGATTGGTTATTCATCTGGTTCAACAATGAATCTATTTTGCGATAACAAGCGGCCATAGAGATTGCAAAGAATCCAGTTCAACATGACAGGACAAAACATGTCGAAGTGGACCAACATTTTATCAAGGAAAAGCTCGAAGATAAAATAATTCAATTCCCATTTGTAAAGTCAGAAGATCAGTTGGCTGATATCCTTACAAAGGCAGTATCAAGCAGGTTTTCTACAGCTCATTAGACAAGTTGGGTATTGAAGACATCTATGCCCCAACTTGAGGGGATGTTGGCATGAGCTGTAACAGAAAATTTATGCAGCGATTTTAGGGAGAGATTACAGGGATTCCTTCTTATTTGTCTCCAATTATAGATTCCAAGATCATAACCTAAACTCATGTACAGTAGTTATTACCTTCCAAGTATAGATCCTTTGTATATGTTATATATATAAACAGCATATTGTATTCATTGTAATTCAATACAGTATGAAATAAAAGGTTACCATTCTTGATATATATTTTTTGCATCCATCAGCTATTTTTAGTTTAAAAAATTAGATGAACAACTATTTAGATTAATTATTATTTTTTATCAACTGTTGGTTGGAATCTTTCCAACTTAACTGGACAGATCTTATTCCAGGCTGGCCCAATTGCCACATGAGGTTTCGCTTGTTGGGGGAAGTGAACATATACATGATTTTGGGGCCGTTGTTTAAGTTGTACCATAGGTTTTAATTTTTTTATTTTATAATTTTACCCACAACAAACATAATTTCAGGCATACACTACTGAAATAGCACAATTTGTGTCTGAAGCTATAATTTTATCTGAAGATATGGACTTTAAATGAAAATGTCATACATGCATACAAAATATTAGTTGCACTTAAAATGCAAACGTGTTAAGTCCATCCCAAATACAATTTTTGCACTTAAGACGAAAATGTCCTAAGTGTATGCAATAAACGGGTTGTCCTAAGATGTTTAGTCTTAAGTATAATTAAAATTGTACTTAAAATGCACTTAAGATGTATGTGTCTTAAGTGTAATCAATTTTTTGTATGCACCGAAGACGTTTTTATTTGAAGCTCAAATTTTTCAGAAACATAAATTTATTAATCGAATTTCAACAATCAAACACACATAAATTTACTTCAAATGGGCTCAAATTTGAAGTATAAGCCTAAAGTATTATAAAGAACAAACCCCAATCATTAATTTATCAAAATAATAATAAATCTAACAATTTTATTGTGACGACCCGATAGGTCGTTTTGACTTCTAATACTTATTGATACATTCCTAGACCTCTCATAGCTCAATTTGATGATTTAAAACTTGTGTGCGTGGTCCGTATTGATTTCCGAAAAGTTTTCATGTGAAATTTTTAAGCAAAATTGATTTTAACTTAAAATAAGGTTTGGGTTGACCACGGTCAACATTCTTAGTAAACGACCTCAGATCGGTGTTTTGACAATTCTGGTAGGTTCGAATGATCTTGTACATATGCTTGGTTGGGGTTCCAGGTGACCCGAGCATGTTTCTGCGCATTATGTGAAAGACTGTGAAAAAATAAGTTTTAAGTGGAAATCTAGAGTTTTGATGAATGATTCTTGTTATTTGATGTAATTTTGATAATTTGAGGTAGCAAACAAGTTTGTAAGATGTTATTACACTTGTGTGCATGTACGGTTTAGAGCCTGAGGGACTCGGGTGAGTTTCGGATGCATTGCAGACTGATTCAGAATAGCTAGTGAAGTTCTGTTCCTGGTGTTGAATTGCAGGTCTCGCATTTGCGAGGAGTTGTTCGCAAATGCAAAGTGCGTTTTTGCGAATTCGATCTTGCATTTGCGATAAAGGGCTGGGCAGGGCAATCTACGCATTTGCGAAGAAATATTTGCAATCGGGGACAGTCTATTACACTTTTGGTATTCATTAGTCGCTTTTGCGACTGGGTACTAGGATAGGCAGATTTGCGAATGCGAATCTTTGACCGCATTTGCGATGGAAAGGGGCCTCGCAAATGCGAGATTTTTGTCGCATTTTCCACTTATGTGGTCTGGGGCACTGATCGCATTTGCGATAAGTATTTCACATTTGCGATGATCAAAATTGCTAACAAGAGTTCGCAAATTGTGATACCTACAGCTGGGTAAAAGTTGGAAAAATCGGGACTTAGCACATTTTACATCATTTTTCAACCCTAAGCTCTCTAGAGGCGATTTTTGAAGAATATTTTCTCTTTCAAATTCATTGGTAAGCGACTTTAACTAGTTTTCAATCAATTTCAATTACTTTTTCATGAATGTTAACATCAACTCCATGAATTTCAAGGTAGAAATGAGGGATTTTGGGTAGAATTTAGGAATTTTGTAAAGTTAAAATTTAGACCTCAAATTGAGGTCGGATTTCGAAACAAATCACATAACTGGGGTCGGGGGTGAATAGGTAATTGGGATTTGATCTGAATCTCAAATTTCGACCAAGGGGGCGTGGGGTTGACTTTTGTTGACTTTTTAAAAAATGATCAAAATTGAACCTTTTTCATTCGTGGGTAGTTTCTAAAGCTTATTTTGGATTGTTTGAATGATATTTGGCTAGATTCAGTTTGTCTGGAGGCATGTTCTAAAGGAAAATTCATGGTTATTATTGATTTAGTTTCTGAAAGAGGTAAGTGTCGTATTTAACTTTGACTTGAAGGAATTATGACTTGTTTGGTCTATTTGCTATGTGAATTATGTGTGAGAATGGTGTATATGCAAGGTGACGAGTGTATATACATTGTAATGGGTAAATCATGCAAGATGAGCTATTTATCTTTATGTCATCATTTATTCCATGTCATATCTCGTTATGTGCTTTGATTTCTACATGTCCTTGCTTTTGTGCCTTACTTATTATCTATCATCTAGTTGTTACTTGTTTTTTGTTTATTCATTCCTCGATCAATATTTACTTACCTGCTATATGATCCCACATGTATTATTTGAATATCTTCATTATTTCATGCTTTAATTGCCTTTACCTTACTTGTTTCATTTTATTATATTATGTCCGACTGTGTGAGCCCTTGTTTATTTTTGCGTTAATGATTTGTTGAGGTTTGTGAATATGAGATGTTGGTTGCCCTCTGTTTGTACTAGTAGGTTCTTCGTGTTTTGTATGCTTTAGTACCTTTTGTGTTGGGATTTCGGAATTGGTTGTGTTGAGTTGTTAACAATATTGAAATGATATTGGAAATGGGTTGCACACCGCAACATAATGAAAATGAAATTATATTAGGATCAGGTTGCATGCCGCAACAGATATTGATATGATATTGGAATCGGGTTGAACGCCGTAACAGATATTGCAATAATATTGGTATCGGGTTACGCGTTGCAATAGGGTATGATGTGTTGTAATTGTTTGTAACATTGGTGTTCTATTTTTGTACTGTGATGTGAGGTTATGAGATGTTATTTTGGGGCCCTCTATTAGTTGACCTTCGGGTCCCTTTCTTATGAATTTATCCGTTTTCTCAATTTTTTTGTTATCTTTTATTTATTATTCGTACATGTTTATTGTGAGTGTTTTGTGATAAACTCGTCACTATTTCGTCGAGGTTAGGCTCGACACTTACGGTGTACATGGAGTCGGTTGTACTCATAGTACACTTCTGCACTTCTTGTGCAGATCTCGATATCGGTCCTAGTGGCGCATAGCGGAGATTGCTCGGATCAAATCTATCTAGGAGACTTGAGGTAGAGTTGCACGACATTCGCAATCCCAGAAGTCCCCTTCTATCTTGTTTTACTATTTGTATTTTTTCGAGCAGTTGTATTTCATTTCAGACTATATTTTTAGTATTCCAGTCGCTCATGTACGCATGACTCCAGATTTCTGAGATTAGCTTAGACTGCAGTACTTATGAATTTATTTTATGTATTTCAGTCGTTAATTAATATTTTGCTTTTAAATTGTTAAAATTGGTTAATTATTTAGCTAACATTGGCTTTCCTAGCAAATGGATGTTAGGCGTCATCATGTCCCTGTGGTTGGGATTTCAGATCGTGACACTCATTTTGCAACTAAGAAGAAGAGGAAGAAGAGACCCTCAACAGTAGCAACGAAAGGTACTTTACAGCACCTCACTACTATAAAACACCATAAACCATCTTAAAACATGCTCACAAACACCATGTAAATCCGATGTCACCTCTATTTAAGGAGAAGGAGGAGAAGCAGAGAAGAACAACTTGTCTCAAGTTACACATATTCTGTGTAATGACCCAATCAGACGTTTTGCTTTATAGATCCTTGTTCCCCTAATTAAGACTCCCCGTATTTGCTTTTATTGTGTTTTATGACTTGCGAGGATGGTTAGTTAAGGTTTGGTAGGGTTCGAGTTGAAATCGGAATAATTAGTTCCTTAATAGTGGCTTATAATGGTTAAGTTTGATGTGAGTCAATGTTTTGAGTAAATGGACCCAGAACCGGGATTTGACTGTCCCAATAGGTTCGTATGATGATTTTGGACTTGGACATATGTTCGGATCGGGTTTTGGATGACTCAGGAGCATTTCGGCGCTTAATATTGAAAGTTGGCGCATTGAAGGTTTTCAAGTTTGGTTTGGAGTAGGTTTTGGTGTTACCGAGGTACGCTTGGAATTTTGAGCCTGAAAATAGTTCCGTATGGTGATTTATGACTTGTACGCAAAATTTGAGGTCATTCCGAGTAGTCTAAGTATGTTTGTAATAAACCGGCCGGTTGTTTTGAGAGTAATAGCTCTGATGCCCTATTTTTCGCTTTTACCATATCTGTTCCTACTTATGTGACTTGTCGGAATTTTTTATTGGTTTCGGAGTGTTTTAGGAAACTTAGTCCCTAAAACGGAAGTTTAAGTCATAGGATTTTGACCGCAGTCGGAACTATGTGAAGACGACTCCGGAATGGAGTTCCGTCAGTTCTATTAGCTCTGTTGGATGATTTTGGACTTAGGAGCCTGTCCGGACTGTGAATTTGAGGTCTGTAGCTAATTTAGGCTTGAAATGGCAAAAGTTAAATTTTGGAGATTTTGACCGGTAGTGGACTTTTTGATATCGGGGCCGGATTCTGATTCCGGAGGTTGGAGTAAGTCCATAATGTTGAATATGACTTGTGTGCAAAATTTGAGGTCAATCGGAATTGATTTGATAGGTTTCGGCATCAGTTGTAGAAATTTGAAGTTTCAAGTTCATTGAGTTTGAATTAGAGGGTGATTCGTGTTTTTAGTATTGTTTGTTGTGATTTGAGCACTCAACTAAGTTCGTATAGTGTTTTAGGATTTGTTGGTTTGTTTGGTTGAGGTCCCGGTGGCCTCAGGTTGATTTCGAAGGGTTAACGGATCAAATTTGATTTTGGAAGAACAGCTGAAGTTGTTGCACCTAGTGTAATCGCACCTGCGCAACATTGACCGCATGTGCGAGCCCGCATAAGCGATCCAATTGTGCGGAGGTATAACTGCATTTGCGCATCCGCAGATGCGGAAGATGGAGAGCAAAAGCGGAAGGGGCTAGGGCATGGGGGATCGTAGAAGCGGAAGAAAATCCGCAGCAACGGGCGCACAGGTGCGGCCCATTGCTCGTAGATGCGGACCCATTCCCTTTAAGTCATTTCCGTACCTGCGATGGAAATTCCGTAGGTGCGACTATCGGCCGCAGGTGCGAGATTTCTGGACAGAACACTTAAATACAAGGGTTCGCGAGTTTTGCTCATTTTTAACATTTTGAGCTGGGGTTTGGCGATTTCTTGAGAGCATTTTGAGGGATTTCTTAAGGTAAGTCCATTGTGCTTATTTTTGATCTATTATCTTGCTTCCCCATTTATTTTTTCACCTATTTAGTGTGTATTTAAGGTGAAATTTGGGAGTTGAGACTAGGGATTTGGAGAGTTTGATTTGAGGATTTGAAGGACCATTTGGTGTCGGATTTTAGTAAATTTGATATGGTTAGACTCGTGAGTGAATGAGTGTTCATATTTTGTGACTTTTATCCAATTTCGAGATGTGGGTCCGGGTCGACTTTTTAAGGCGAATTTCGGAATTTTTGTTTAAGTATTGATTTCATTAATTAAATGAGTCTATTATAGTTGTATTTATGATAACCAATACTCTATAATACACAATTGTGTTTGGCTAGATTTGGGCCATTCAGAGTCGGATAATCGAGGAAAGGGCATTCTTACAGATTGATTGAGCTTGGTTCGAGGTAAGTGGCTTGCTTACCCTTGTGTGATGGAAATCCCCTTAGGATTTGGTACTGTTGTGATATGTGAGCACCGTGTACGTGAAGTGACGAGTACGTACACGAGCTATTTGTTGAAAAAAATGATTTATTTTACTAAGTAGCAACCTGTTTTTCCTTTAATTTGAGTTATACCGCATAAATGAGTATTAGTCTGTTTTCAATAATAATTGAGATATTACAATATGCATAGTTATACTGTTTAGTCTAATATCGCATGTATACGTGCTTTAACTGCTTATTTGAACTCCATGAAGCATGCCTAGTTGATTTTCTATTTTTCCTTGTTCTTTATCAGTCTTAACTGTAGAATTTTTGTTGTTAACTATGGTATTTATTGGTTGAGCTGTGTGTTTACTTTTGAGACTACGAGGCGGTTCCTCGGGAGTTCTCCCTGCATATTTACTTTTGAGACTACGAGGTGGTCCCTCGAGAGTTCTCCCTGCACATTTACTTTTGAGACTACAAGGCATTTCCTCGGGAGTTCTCCCTGCATATTTACTTTTGAGACTACGAGGCGGTACCTCGGGAGTTCTCCCTGTATATTTATTTTGGGACTATGAGACGGTATCTCGGGAGATCCCTTGTTTTTTACCCCTGTGTTTTGTACTGTTGCCTTGCTATGTTCCTTTTGTTAAATTCTAGTATCTCATTATACTGTATATTCTCCTGCTTTGATTATTATATACCAGTGGGCCTGACTTGACCTCGTCACTACTTGGCCGAGGTTAGGCTTGGCACTTACTGGGTGCCGTTGTGGTGTACTCATGCTACTCTTCCGCATATATTTTGTGTGCAGATCCAGGTACTTCTTATGAGCCCCGCTATTAGATGAGAGTTCTTACTGCTGTACGGACACTTCAAGGTACATCTGTCACGTCCGCAGACCTCA